TTACTGGTTGTGCTGTCAGTTTTCTTGCTTGTGCAGTTTCAATCTGATTACCAGACTTTTTCAGAATCAACATCCCTGAGTTGTATTTTCATATTCTGCTCTGACTTTTAAATCAAAAGTTCCGATTAGACAGCAGCTGAATAAAATCTTCACCTGCATTTTCTGGGAAAGTGAGGATTCGGGACAAGGAAAAACTCTAATGATAAGAGTTCCAGTATGGGTCATGATTCTGTCTGCCAGGACACTTGCAGCCAAATCTGAAGCTTAGACAGTCTTTGTCAGTGTGCTGCCCACATTCTTTGGGCTCTCTCCCCCCATTTCTGGGCACTCTGGCCTGGCTTCCAATAGTCAGTGTGGGAGGGCTGCCCTGGGGCTGTCCGTGAAAAATCAGGCCAGAAGACCCAAAGATCTACATCCCCCCAGGGGTATCTTTAAGGAGGTCTGGTGGCACCATGGTTAAAGCACTGGACTGCTAACCAACCCATCAGCCACTCTAGGGGAGAAAGATGAAGCAGTCTGTTTCCATAAAGATTTACAGCCTTGGAAACCCTAATGGGGCAGTTCGACTTTGTCCTGTGGTGTTGCTATGAGTTGGAATCGAGTCAATGGTAGTGGGTTTGGTATTTTGGCTTTTTTTGTGGTGCTGGGCTGCTAATTAAAATGTTGGTGGTTCAAACCCACTAGCCACTCCACAGGAGAAAGATGTGGCAGTCTGCTCCTCTAAAGATTTCTAGCCTTGGAATCCCTATGGAGCAGTTATACTCTGTCCTATAGGGTCACTGTGAGTCGGAATCTACTTGTCAGCAATGGTTTTGGTGGCTCAATGGGTTAAGTGCTTGCCTGCTAACTGAAAGGCTGTGGTTTGAACCCACGGCAGTGTAGTGTCCAAGGCACTTGACTGCTAACCAGAAGGCTGGCAGTTCAAACCTACCAGCCACTCCTCAGAAGGAAGGTTGGGCAATCTACTTCCCTAGTGATACTGCCTCAGAAACCCAAGGAGGGTCACTATGAGTTGGGTCCAACTTAATGGCACATAACAACATAACAACAACAACAGTAGTCACTCCACTGGGCAACGATTTTGCAATTTGCTCATTTACATAAAGATGACAGCCAAGAGAACCCTTTGGGGCGGTTCTATCCTGTAACACATGATGTTGCTGTGAGTTGGAAACTAACTCAACAGCACATAACAACAACAACAAGGGCAGCTTTTAATCAGCAACTGACAGGTGTGGGTGTATAAATACCCCAGCTCCCTGCGTGGGAGAATTCTGAATCATATGCTTCGCATTGTTTCCAAGCTTCCACTGGGATTAAGCACCAGTTGCCCACTATGGTTGCCACCTTAATAACATAGCCTGAATTGACTTCCTTCTCTTCCCTGTATCACTTCCTTCTTCTTCTACCTGTATGTCTTGCACTTCCCAATATGCCTCGCACTCAAATTCTGTGCTCTGGTCTGCTTTTGAGAGCACCTAAACTCAGACAAAGCATCTATCAAGCCATTTTATAGACCCAATTCCCCTCCACATGTTTGCTTTTCTTATCCCTGGTTCTAAAGTTTTATTTACATTTTATGATAATTTAACTGTATATTTTCTGATAATCTGCTTCCTGAAAGTCTTTGCAGAACAAGGCATGGTAAAATTAATTTTTAGAAAAAAACCACCATCATGTAAGGGTAAGATGTTGTTGTTGTTGTTATGTGCCGTCAAGTCGGACCCGACTCATAGCGACCCTTCCTTGGGTTTCTGAGGCAGCATCACTACGGAAATAGATTGTCCAACCTTCCTTCTGAGGAGTGGCTGGTGGGTTTGAACTGTCAGCCTTCTGGTTAGCAACTAAGTGCCTTAGGCACTATGCTACCAGAGCTCCTAAGGGTAAGATAAAAATGCAATATAGAAATGGTTTACAGAGTATGATCCCAATTAAAAATATATATATATGTGTGTATATATATATATATAGATAGATAGATAGATATAGATATAGATATAAATACACACACACACACACACACACACACAAATGGGAGCACTGGTGGTGTAGTGCCTAAGACATCTGACTGTTAACCAGACGGCTGGCAGTTCAAAATCACCAGCCACTCCTCGGAAGGAAGACTAGGTAATGTACTTCTGTAGAGATGGTGCCTTGGAAACCCAAGGAGGGGTCGCTGTGTGTCAGATCCGACTTAATGGCAGTTGAGTTTGGTTTGGTTTTATATATCATGAAATGCACCAAAATGTTGACAGCAGTTAACTTGGGGCACTATCACTACAGATGTTTTAATGTATTTCCTTTTTATATTGAATTTCACAACGCACAGGAAGCTTCAGTTCCTTCGTGTATCAAATGGGGACAAGGCCTGCCTCGAGGAAGCTGTGGTAACCATGGAATTCAATGCGAACATGTGGATGTGGCGCAGCACTCAGCCCTGGACCGGTGTCACAGTGTGTCTCATGAAGACAGCAGGTACTGTTATCACAACAAGGACGATTTGTAATGTTGTGATACAATCAGAAGGAAAAATGTCAAGCAATTTAAAGGAAAGCATTAGGTATGTGCTTTGTACTGTCCGAAGTGCATTCACTTACCTGAGCCCATCTGTCCCTCACAACCACCTTGCAATGGGACAGAATCAGGAGGACAGAGCGGGGAGGAGAAGGACTAATATTTACTGAACAGCCACAATGATGTGCCAGACACCAAGTTGGCACACGGTAGACACCTAGCAGAAGAAGGTTGGGACTCAGAAAGGTTGAGATGCTTGCCCAAGATAGAGAGACCGGACCAATAAACAGCTCCAGCTCCAGACTCAGTTCAGGTTTCCTCCCACCCCACCATGTTGCATCATTATATTTGCATCTTAGGAGCCTGTGGTTCTCCGTGCCCACCTGTCCTTGATACTGTGTGCTAAGATTGCATCAATGGCCATCAGTCCATACCCATACTCTTCTCCTTCCTACCTCTGTGTCTGTGGATAGTGCAATGGGTGGCTTCTGGTGGTGGTGGGGAGGACGGATTTAGCTGGCCCCCAATCACCCACCAAAACCCCACCGAATAAGCTTCCAATCTAGTAAAATTCTGAATGTGCTGTGCAAACACAGTAGATTCCAGGTACGTGCCATAGCGACACCTCCCAGTCAGGTTGCTACACAGAAATTGTGGAACTGTCATCTGAGACATAGGAAGTGACATTGTGAGGGTGTTAAGGTACCATTAAGTGACCAGTTGGTAATGTAGTACCTCAAAGGAGGTATTACTTCCTCTTGATCCTCCTCAGGAGTCCATGTTCCGGTCATCATGGAGAATGCTTGCCAGATGGCCAGTTATTCTGGAGTCATGATGGCCCCCTGATGGGGGCAGGGCCATCTGGACAAGGTGGGGGCTGTGAGCTGGGCAGCGCAGCACAAAGCACTTCAGATAACGCTTGTGTGTCCTTGATCATGGTGGCTCTCTCTGCCTCGCCTCCTACTGGCCAATAAAAGCCCTGGGCAGGCTTCTAAGCTCACCTTGGGAAGTCCTTCTAGACTATGAGACCAAAGCTGGTCTCTACCCTGTGCTCCTTCTTGCAGACAATGTTTCCATAACACGCCTGTGCCTGCGCCAAGGAGGTTGGCCTGCCACCTCACGTCACTGGTAAGCTCCTCTAGAGAGCCCAGGGGCCGGCCTTGCGCAGCTCCTGCGTGCGCACCCTGCGCTGCTGGCCACTGAGAGCCCCGTTCATGGCTCCTGGTGCTCTGGCACCCACTCTTTTGCTCTCTGTCTGGCCTTTCAAAGCCCCCTCCTCTGCTCCATCTGCCAAAAAGCTCTTCTTTCCTTTGAATTTCTATAGGGGTCCCCCCCACCCTCACCACTTGAATTTGTGCTTTAAGGGTTAACAGTCATTAGGGGTGTGGTGCAAAGACCCCACCCACTTTACTTCTGGGAATAAACCCACATCCTTGCTCAGAAACCCTCCATGGTAACCCCTTGCCTCTGGAATAAGTCTCCGGTCCTAAGTCTGGCAGTGAAGGTCCTCCTCCATCCTGTTAGCCAGGGGGCCCTCCCTGCCTTCCTTCCACTGCTCCACCTGGATCAGTCAGCGCCTGGGGCCCCTGAAGACCACTCTCTCCTCCTCCTCTTCCAGAGGGCAATCCCTGTAGGGTCAAACTCAAATCACACCACATGTCAAAGGTTCAGACCAAAGGTTTTTCTCTCCTGATCCTTCCTGGTCGGGGAAACACATGCCCTCCTTTCAATCATTAGCATTTTGTTCTGCCTCCTTACTTCTGGTCTGGTATCCGATTTCCCTCTGCAACTCTGAAGTCAAAGGCAAACGATTTTTTACTTGGGTGATCCCCTCTGACCAGAGCCTGGTACAGTAGCTTGTGCATAGCACCAACTCAATGTTTGAGTGCTCCCTATTGCTAAGTTTTCTCCCCAAGTTCCCCTGAACTCAAAGCCTGTCTCCTAAACTACACTGAAAGTCTCTCAGGGCAGTTTCTCCAACTCACACCACCACAGCAGTTGCCATGGCGTGGATTCTGACTCACGGCCACGCCATGTCTGTCACATTAGGACTGTGCGCCATTGCTTTTTCGGGGGCTGACTTCTCAGAGATGGCCAGGCTTTTCTTCCCAGGCGCCCCTGAGGAGACAGATCTTTAACCGTTTGGCCGGCAGCTGAGCGCAGACACCGCAGGCACCAGACTCCCGCTCCGACTCCAGGCGCATTCAACCCCCTTGGACTTTGTGAAAAAGCAAATTCTGATTCAAGCGGTGCGTGGAGACGCCAGGGAGCCCGCGTTTCTAAGAAGCTCCTGGCCCACACACCACTCTTGGAGTAGCAGAGCGGCAACACCACCTGTTGATTAGGGACACAGCTCCCAGCAGGGGCTGCGCGCCGAGGTGGCTGAGAGGTGTGTTCTCGCGCCCGCAGGGGCGGGAGGCGTGGAGGCCACTAGGATGATGCCAGCGACTCTGAGCTCCCGCGCTCCCTCTCCGCGGCTCACTTACCTATGGTGGACACGACGGTGCCCACGAAGTAGAAGGCGCCGGTGAAGTCCCAGCGCGGGCGAACGGTGTCCACGCGGATGCCAGCCGCGGTGGCCTCCTCGTAGAGGCGCAGGAAGCCGCGCAGCTCGTCTCGGCTCAGGTTGTGGCGGCGGCTGAAGTTGGCCAGGCGCTCCTCCCAGCGCTGCTTGGCCTGGCGCTCGGGCGCCAGCTCCAGCGCCGAGAAGACGGCGGCGCCGCCCAGCAGGTAGAGAACGATGAGCGCCGCGAGCAGCAGGAAGCGCGCGTTGTCCTCGTTCAGGTGGCCCGGGCCGCAGCTGCAGCCGCCACCCCGGCCGGCCATGGCCGGGCCGCGGGGGCAGTCCCGCGCCGGAGCGGCGTAGACGCGGGGTGCCTCTGGCCCAGGCCTCGGGGGAGGTCGGGGCGCGGCTCGCGCTTAGCCGGCCCCGGGCTCGCCCATGACCGCAGGGCGCTCCCTCAGGGCGCGTGGCTCTCGAGGCCGTAGCCTCGGCTGCCTCTGCGGCGCCAGCTCCCCACTTCCGCGTCGACTCCGGGTTTCAAATCCGCTTTGTCGCCCCCGCCCCGCCCGCTCCGGAGCTGTCCCGAACCGCGTGGCTCCGAGAGCCCGCCGGGGCGCACAGTCCGCTTCTGCCGGGAGCGGGAACACGGGCGCTCAGCCCAGCTCGGCGGCCTGCCTGCGGGGCTCGGCTTTGGAAGGGGCGTGGCGCGTGTTCAGGATCGACTTGGGCGCACTTGAATTTTCCTCCCGGGCGAAGGTCCCGGAGCCCCAGAGGCCAGCCGGCAAACGGAGCCCCCGAGTTTCCGCCCCTTTGACCGTTGCTCCTCCAGCGCCGACTGGAAGGACATCGGGTTTCGCGCTGCTGGCTTTGAAGGTACCTTCCCAGATAGATTCAGGAATCCCAGTCGCTGGCCTCTGGGTCACCGACCCGGCTGCTTGGGCTTAGAGGCTGGACTGGGTCTGGGACCGGCGCACGGACAGCGGGGCTGTGCCGTGCTGCGTCCCCGGGCTCCGACCTTCCGCCCAGCCCCGACGTCGGACGACGTCGGCGGGCGCACGGGCTGGAGAGACCAGACGAGAGAGGGAGGTTGGAACAGGGGAGCGCAGGAGCTTAGGCGCACCCGCGGCAGCCTCCTTGCCCCACCTCGGTGGAGCGCCCTTGCCTCCCGTCCGCCGCTTCTGCCCCGGCTCCCGGAGAGCCCGCGGCCGGGAGACCGTGACCCCTGCCAGTCCCTTCGGCTCCTCCTCGCCTTTGCTACCTCTGCGCGCGCCAGATTTTGGGCGAACAGAGGCTCCGCGCTTTGCCTCCACTGGGGAGGCGACCAGTGTGCTCCTCCCATCCCGACCCCTCCGTGAGATTCCCACTTTCGGGGTGCGCCACCCGACCCCTCCGTGAGATTCCCACTTTCGGGGTGCTGGCGCCGCGCCAGGTTCTCACCTCCGGGAGCGCGATCTCTCGGGAACTGTTCCCAAGGCTGCCTGCTCCCTGCGGCCCTGTCCGCTGGCGCGCGCGTGGAACCGAGGTCCGCGCCGGCTCTGCCTTCGCTCGCCGGCGCGTTCCAAAGCTGCAACAGGTGGAGCCCTGAGGCTGCTGGCTGCGGTGACTCCACCCCGTCCCCCGCCTCCGGGCCGCCCCCGGCGCCGGTCCCTGCGGGCAGACGCCGGGCCCCTCTATCTCAGATCCGGCAGCGGGTGCAGAAGACGCGGGTCGGTGCTTAACTAGCCCGGGTGGACCTCTCTGAGGCCGGGAGAGGGCGCTCCGTCCCCTTCAGGCACAACTCGTCCCCACCCGGGTACACAGTGCACTCCGGAATCACTCACGCAGCGGACGCGGGAGAGTGAATGTGGATAATTGAACCAATGGATGCGCGGAATCTTCGAAGTAGAATTTATCCGCCTCAGGAGAGCGCTCTTAGACTCCAAGCTCCCTCCACGCCCCTACTCACTTGGAGCAGAGACAGAAGGGTTGGCATCCTGTGTAATAGAACCAAAGGATCTCAAGTAAACGCACAGCTCCGGATTCCAACAGATCTGCCACCATAAGCCCTGAAGCCGCTAGTACTTAGCCATGTCGGCCAGCTATTCACCCGCACACGCCCCTGTGTAGCTTACTGATGGCAAGAGCTTCAGAAAGTAGCTCTGGGAGCACGTGTGTACACCCAAGGTGATCCCTGCCATTATTTTTCCCCATCTTGTTACAAAAAATTTCAAACATACAGAAAAGTAGAATTTTACAATGAGCAACAATATATCCATCACCTAGAGTCTACAATAGGGAGTTCTGGTGGCATAGTGCCTAAAGCATTTGACTGCTAACCAGAAGGCTGGCGGTTCAAACGCACCAGCCACTCCTCAGAAGAAAAACTGGGCAATCTACTTCCGTAGAGATACCACCTTGGAAACCAAAGGAGGGGTTGCTATGAGTTGAAATCCACTGTAAACAGTGAGTTCATTTTTTTTTTTTTTTTTTTTTTAGAGTCTACAATGAACATTTGACTATGCTTGCTTTATTATACTTCTATCTAAAAAGAAAAGCCGGGGTGACAACAGAGAGAGCAACGGCAGGGATCCAGGTAAGGGGAGAGCAGAGAGGTTTCCAACTGCTGACGGAGACAAACCTGTCAGTGTGTTGTACTGGGATGGCTTGCCTGTTGCTGTGAGGCTTGAGGCTGTGCCACTGGTGTTTCAAATGCCAGCAGGGTTACACATGGTGCACAGGTTTCAGTGCAGCTTACAGGCTGAGACAGACTAGGAAGAAGGAAGAGGCCATTGACTTCCCAAAGAATTGGCCAGGGAAAACCTTACAAATAACAGAGAAACACAGTGTGATACATTACTGGGCAACTTTATGAATAGCCTGGAAACATTGTCTGATACAGTGCAGGAGGACAAGCCCCTTAAGTCAGAAGGCTCTCAAAATAGGACTGGGAAAGAGGTGCATCATCAGAGTAGAAGCAACCTTACTGATATGATAAAGTAAAGCTTTTGAAACCTCCATATGCTGACATGGCATGACTCAAATTGGGTGAAACAGCTGCAAACATCCATTAATAAGTGGAATATGGAATGTACAAAGTATGAATCTAGGAAAATTGGAAGTTGTCAAAAATGAAATGGAATGCATCCTAGGCATTAGAGAGCTGAAATGGACTGGTTTGGGACACTTTGCATCAGACAACCATATAATCTATTATGCCCGGAATGACGATTTGAAGAGGAATGGCATGGCATTCGTCATCACAAAGGATGTTTCAAAATCTGTCCTGAAGTACAATGCTGTCAGTGATAGGATAATATCCATACACCTACAAGGAAGACCAGTTAATACTATTATTATTCAAATTTATGCACCAACCTCCAAAGCCAAAGATGAGGGAATTTAAAGTTTTTTTATCAACTTCTGCAGTTTGAA